TTTTTTTTTTTTTTTTAGTGGATGTCAATGGAGATGAGGCTTCACTAGGCTGAAAAAACTGCTTTTGTGGGAAAACAGCTTATCATTTAATGATTCGATAATCTATTGGCTAATATTTCAAGTTGATTCACTGTATCTCCCAATAATAAGACCATTGGTGCGTCTGAAATCGCATACCGTCTAAGTAGGTTCTTCATTTGAATTTGAATTTACCTTGCGACCATTAAAAAAAAAAGTACTTTTCACCTACTGTTTTTCGAATACTATGAATTCTTACATACTGCTCACCTCACATACTGTTTTTTGCATACTATAGTGTATGGAAGTATGTGAATGTCTGGTTGTAGTAATCTTGAAGAACTTGATGATCTTGTTCAGGTGTGTTTGATCAGGGTTAGAGCTAAACTCTGCAGGAAAGTGGACCACGAAGGCCAGATAACCCCTGCTGGAAAGTATCAACAATAAAAAAAAAATTTTTAAAAAGACTCCAAATTTGTTTGCTGTGTGTTTTTAGAATATTGCGACTGCATTGTTAGATTAGAAACACGCTACGGTCGAACTCTTGAACTCTTGAATTCAGTTGCAGTGCAATTTCATTGTAGGCATCATGGAGTTTCTGCATGTAGAGCAATCCAGATCAGTCATTTATGAGGTTCTGTGACGGTATATTTATGCTTAATAGGGTAAAACATCATTTCACCTTTGAGTTGAGTCTCTCGTGTTTTGAGTACAGCGTGCGGTTTCTTAAACTGCTTATGTGTATACAGTTCCAAGTCAGTAACTTCCTTGGCCGAATCTCATTTGTAGTATGATAAGCCACTTGTTTCTCAAATATCACATGAACTCGCCATGATGTGTTCGCAGGCTCGGTTTGAGGTTCACAAGTTTGGGCTGTCGGGGTATCAGAAGCAGCAGCAGAGGGTCTTTGAGCAGGACAGGGCCATCATGCTGGGAGCCAGAGTGAGTTCAACACACATCTAAATGCACCCAAAGCAACTATAAGAAACCAATTTACAACACATCACAAGTATGCATTCTCGGCATTGCCACAAGGGGCGCTATAGCAGGCAGATAGAACCTTAGAGAGAAAGTTGGTTGAACAATTGACAAAGTTTACATTTAATCATACTTTTATTTGTATCCCACTTTATATTAAGTGTCTTTAAGTACTATATTAAAGTAGTTAAAAAAATAAAATAAAAATAATGTACAGTGTTTTGTTGAATTGCAAAACACTGCAATTGAGGTGGGATATGGTTAAGGTTACACTGTAAAAAAATTATTGTGATTTTAATGGGAAAAGACTGCAAAAATGCTACAGTATAAACCAGTGGTTCTCAACCTTTTTTTAACCAACCTGATTTATATTATTATAGCCTAAATATTATGATATCTAATCGATTACATTCATTGAAATAAATAAATAATTCTACTCCCCATAAATAACACCCAATTTTGTGAACTTCGGCTCGAAAAGAGTAACAGCGCAATCATAGGCGGAGTTTCACTTTTATGCGTGGGGGGGTACCCACTGGCAGACGAGCCACGAGCACTTTTTTATATGTTCTACATTTCATGTATTTATGTAACACATATTCTACATTAAAAAAAATATTTAGAATGAACAATAACTGCTGTACAAAGAGTAAAAAAAATGAAAGAAAAAAAAAAACATATAATGCAGAAAAGCCGCCTCTTTTTCCGAATTGCGCAGATGACCACTATCTTTCTTTCATCTCTTCTGATAAATTTTCAGTCAAATCGTTTTCTGTGTGCTAGATCAGAGCTAGAGCCCTGCATTTCAGCCCAGGCCCGACGGCTTCAGGACACTTTTCACGTCATAGTTCAGACGCGGGCCAGGC